GGCAGAGTGCTGTCCTCTGAAGATGCCGGCCACAGAGACTGGCAAAACGTTAGGAAGAACAACCTTCAGAACACGGCCAAAGAGCCCGAAAAACCCACAACAACCAAATCAACAGAAACATTGTTTCATACTGCCATTCCTTTATTCTTCATCCTGTAGCTAGCAGCATCAAAATAGTGAAATAAACTCTTCTCTGGCTGATTGCATGTTGGGTTACAACAGGAACTTCAAGCCGTATGTTCCTTGGCAAAAAGCCTTTTTTAATGTTATCTGTAATGCAATATTATCACACTATGGGAATTGGAATTGCACTTATTATACGGTCTAACTGAGAAATGCATACCTTCTATTTGAGTTCATTTGGGAAAAGATGAGTACACAAAAACGTTAAGTGAAGCATGGTCCCAAAAACGCTATGCGAAAATCGCCCATAGGGAAAAACGTTATACGAAGCACAATCTGACTCTGAAAAAATAAACGTTAAGCGAAAAAAACGTTAAACGAAGCAAACGTTATGCGAGGCACCACTGTACACTATAAACATTTTTAAAATTTAAAATCAGGAGCAAAGATCAGACCACATAAATTAAATTATTGCCTTTCTACAACTGAAAAATGATAGCACTCATGCAAAAACATGCCGTGATGTTGGCATTCACTATATACAAAAAAGGAAGCAGAGGGACAACGACAGACCTTCTATGTTACCTATTTGTCTTTCCAGATCTGCTGCTTCATCTGGTGTTGCACGAGGCAGAACTCCAGGGTCGCTGAAGCTTGTACGAAGCAAGGTCCCCATGACAAAAAGGAACAGAATCGCTCCTACTGCAGGAATAGCAGGTGTAATCTGAACTGACAAATATGGACAGCTGCAAAACATTGGGGAAAAATGAGACATTAAGTCTAATTGTCACTTAATAAAGCAAAAAAGAACAACCACCATTTTTGTGAAAAATTTCCATGTTGAGAATTATGGATGAAACCATAGAGAAGGTTCTCTTCAAATATAGTCCCAAGTGCATGTGTGGGGGGAAGGAATAACAAGTTGTCAGAAACTATTAAATACATATTCTTACATGAAAATATGTGCTTCAAGAAGAAATAAACACTGGGATTATCTCTAAAATGGTTCTTTTTAAAATAAACACTGTATCTGTTTGTTACTTTCCCAGTTATACTGAGGAATGGATTTGAACAAAATAAATATTTCTAGGTCTCTTCTGGATGCATTCCAACTTGTTGATATACTTCTTAAACTGTGGTACCGAGACCTGGACACAGCATCACAACTAACATCTGATGAAAACAGAATAGAGTAATATTATCAATTTCCTTAAATTACACTATACTTCTATTGATGCTACCTAGAACTGTATTAGCTTTTCACAGTGCACCAGATCTATGGCATTACACTGATGTACAAGCTTTTAACTCTCTAAAGGAAGAAAGAGAAAGACAGAGATTGAGGATTTCTCTGGTATGACTTATTTTTGAGAAATCAACACTAGCTCTTAGTAAATATAGCACTGTTTTCCAAATGCTCACATACCAAATATTTAGTGATACAGTATATTCTAAATTCTAGAACAGAATTCTGGAATACTGTTGAAGAGATTAAGATCGTCCTGCTGTTTTACAGAGGTTTCTAGTTGTCCAATCTTAAATAAGTCACAGTCTTATGTCATGATGACTTTATATGAGCATGAAAACCAGCTACTAACCCTAGCTTCAAATTCTGGTTAAAAGCAAACAGTTAACACTGATATTAATATAGTAATATTCACTATGACTAAAGCTGATGGTGGAACTGAGGGATGGATCTGTTTATGAGCTACATATGCTACCACTCTTAACTACTGGTGCCATAACTCCTCTGATGTGTCTCTTAGACATATGTTCTGGTTGTGTTCAGTCATAAGCTCTATTTGGAGCTTAATTACAATTATATTATACTGCATAATTCTTTGACTTTGGTTAGTAGTTATGTGTCTTTAAATTATTTGCCTTTTTCCTGAAAGTTAACGACTAACTAGCAAAAGTAAATTCTCCATCCCCTTACTGTGGCTAAAATACTTATACAGTATTTACAATACTGGAAATATACATGCCTGCCCCCTGTCATTCAATGAATCAAGAGGATCCCACAACTCCATCAATGCTACAGGCATAGCATATAGATGACAACCTTGTATGCACGTGTCTTTAGACATCTGGAAGCCTTCTCTAGAAGCTTATGAACAGATGTTGTTGAAAACAGCATGCAGGGGTCTCTTCTTCCCCATTTTTATTCCCAGAGAAACCCTGTGAGGTAGCTTAGTCTGAGAGATAAATGGCTCGAGATAACCTCATGAACACCATGGTATTTTGAACCTGGGGTGTTTCTAGTTCTGGGATTATCCAATGTGGTGTAGTGGACAGAATGATCGACTAGGACCCAGGAGACCTGTGTTTGAATCCCCGCTCTGCCACAGAAATTCACTTAAGAGGTAGAACATGTAAAACCACTCCTTAAATATTTACTTACCTTGAAAGCCTCATTAGGGTCACTATAAGTCAGTTCCAACTTGACTGCACACAACAATAAGACCCTAATCTAACATTATAGTCTCTGCACTATTTATGTATGAAGCAAAAATGGAATGTGAAAAGGAGAGAGTACCAAGCCCATAAGTTGCATCTCCAGTCTTCTAGCTGGCCTTTTTCAGATGTTACATTGGAAATGTGGAAAGGCTGAATGGGTAGTGGAGCGAAGAATGCCCACATCCCCACCACAATGTCACATTTCTTAGACCTTTGTATCATTAGACTAAAGATTTAAAGTACATCCTTGCTATAGTTTTCCAGTCATAGGGACTCTCTGTAAGTGCTTTCAGCTGAATATGGAATTCATTGTATTATTCATTACTTCTTGGCAGACATGTTGCTATTGCCATTATCACTGTGCTAATCACATAAGCACTTCACTGCATTTGGGTTACTAGTGTTGTCATTCCCAAGGGAACAGAAAAAAACAACAACACAGAGAAATAACATCTAGTGGCCAATTCTAATATTGAACCTTTAAATGTTTGTAAAAATATAGAAGACAAAAGCAAAGAAAACTTTCATTGTCACTTAGGATTGAAAACAGAATGGCACAACAGCCGGGAAAAAATCATGTCAAAATTCCTCTAGAAATGCCTTTAAATGCACATTAAAAGCAACTTTTGAAAGTAACTAGGTATTATTCATTACAACTAAGTAACTTGGGTGTTACTGTTAGGCTACTTTTCATGCTCATTATCTAAATAGCAATGTTATTTATAACTACTTACTTCCAAGACCTAGTTTTAGACAGAACTTCTAAATACTGCTGCCATGGTTAGTAAATTGGGAACTGTTGCATCTCTATCAGCACACTCTCCACAGTAGCAGATTTTCAGAAGCACTTATACTGAATTCATATGTCTAGAATTATTGGTGAAAGAAAAGATAAACTGTGAAAAATATCTAGGAAAAACTAGCAAACACAGGTGATATCCACAATGAGACCAGTATTGATGATTTTCAGATATTTAAGACTTCCTATCCCTATTTCATAGCCCCCAAAGGCTTTTCCCGGACCAAGGGAACTTGGGAAACTTGTGGGGAGGGGGACAAAAAATGTTTAACTACAAAAATATAGTAATCATTGGTGATATCATCAGACCTATTCAGTGCAAATGTGCATTACTGAATTTCAGCCATTATTTTTGTAAAGGCCACTTTCCCACCTCTATACATTTTGATAAAAGGGTAGCAAAATATTTAAAAAAAACCATTGCAAACATAAAGCAATACAATTTTAAACTGGTACTGCTTGCAAATGCTATTTTAACATGCCTTAACAGAAGTATAGTTTCCAAATCCCATGAGTCCTTCTCTATTCAGCACTGGTTAGGCCTCATCTTGAGTACTGTGTCCAGTTCTGGACACCACACTTTGAGAAGGATGTCAACAAACTTAAGGGACTGGAATCCAAGCCCCGAGGAAAGACAAAAAGAACTGGGCATCTTCAGAGGACCAGAGTACAGGTTGCTGTCCTCTGAAGATGCCGGCCACAGAGACTGGCGAAACGTCAGGAAGAACAACCTTCAGAACACGGCCAAAGAGCCTGAAAAACCCAAAACCATTGATTGGACAATCATCTGTCAGATCTGCTTTGACTTGGATTCCTGCACTGAGTTAGGAGTAGGACTCAGTGTCCTTATAGGCACCTTCAAGCTCAATTATTCTATGAAAAAAGAGCAGCAGGATGAGGTGAAAGCAAATTAACTACAAACCTAGCAATCTCAACAAAAGTAGCAGTGAGATGGGGCTAACCAGTACAGAAGGCCAATCAAAATAAGATGAGGAATCAGATGAGTCTTTTGGGACACTGATTTGTATAGTCAATGAAGTATGGAAGTCTAATAGTCTTTCATCCTGGGTGACATTTTCCCATCATTGCCTCCTCTTGTAAACTACTGCCAGTTACCTATCACACTTCCACTGAACAGAAAGTTCTATCAGCACAGTACCACAGGACTGTGCCATGAATGGAAGTAGCATCACTGCACAAAGTATGATCTCCATGAAACAGTGCCCTCTTTTTGGATAACTGTAACACTTGAGTTTGTGGTGTGATCTCACATTACCATGCTTGCAGGATTTTCAAGAACTCATCAGGATTGTGGCATATGAACTAAACTGTATCTGTAGAAGATCTTGTTTTCACAATTTCTCTTTTTTTAAAGCCAGAATCCTATTGACTATTATTGCATAAGAACAGTTGCACAAATGGTAGGAAAACTTTTCCAGGCTGTCCATCACATGACAGTTCTCTTCCTGATTGTTCAATTTATGGGATACATGACAGCTGAGGGAAGTAAAAGCCGGTTGCACAACTACCTTCTTGAATAGGATTTTGTCCTGTCCATCAAAATAATTCAGCACTGATTCTAATTGTTGGCTCCTGAGCCAGTGTGGGAAACATGTGGCTTTTCAGGTGTTGGAACAAAACTCTCACCAGCATGGAGAATTATGAGGAATGATGCCACTGTCAAGGTTTGATATTTTATATGTATGGAGTGTTAAAATAATTGAGGAGAGTGTAAAAATACAACCTTCAAAATGTACATTGAATTTATGAATATGAGATTTGAACAGCAGCGTACTTAAAGAGCTCTTTCCTAGAAAGCTAGCACTTAAATGTGTACATGTAAACACTGATTTAAAAAAAACAACGGAACATTGAAAAAAGTCCTAGATCATTAGATTTCTAGAGCATGATGATGTAGGTGTAGCAAAGTCCTAGATTATCAGATTCCATCAGAAGCACTCTGCTTACTTAGCAAAGTTGTACCAAACCAGTCTCCTAACATAGCAGGTGTATATGGGCACAAGTCAAATCATAAACAATGATTTGCTTCTTTAGGTGTTTGTAGCCGGGGGTAGGGGGGGGGAAGCAAGGCTGATTCCTTTAGAAAATTTAAGCAGGGTTTTTCCTATTAAAGGAAATTGCTCTGGTAGTGAACTAGCATATGAAAACGTGCCAACTGAGAATGGAAAAATGAACAAATTAGAGAAATAGAAATATAGAGAAGCAAGACACAGCCACACAGATGAAACACCAAGAAACATTGGCAGCTCAAAAACTCATCAAGCAACGTGTAACAGAAGCACTACCACCACAGAAGCAGAACAGATGAAGAGAACATGGATTTTCCTCCATAGATTCGAACTGACAAATGACTGGGCGAGCAATCAGATAACTTAATATTTTCTGTATCTGCAGGTAATATGCTAAAAGGCTAAGTGATGTGTTTTACTTTCATGCAAAGAACTTTAATGTTTTAATACATTCTCTGCT